CACTCTCCGTACCCGATTCATACTCGTACACTCTCCGTACCCGAGTACTTAAGTCCACAGGAAGATATCGACGTTGAAGAAGAGATCTTCAGAATGTCCGTCGTGAAGCACAATCCTCGAAGCTATTCATCGAACGACCACTGCCTCGGATCGTTTACCCGCAGGCAGAACTCAACGTTTCTGCCGTATGAAGCATGAACGTTTGTGAAGGTACTCCAGCCCCCAGGGCTGGAGTAAAACTAGAAACTAAAATCAGTTTCTTCAGACATGCTGTACAGAAAAGCGTTCCCTTCCTCCTGTTGTATCTTCGTCAATTGATCTTGACCTTGCCATTGAGATCATTCGTTTCTATTACACTAAAATTACTTATGTTCTTTTGTTTCCCCTTAACTCCATGAAGGCACCGGTTCCTGAATTCGTCTTTGTTACAATGTGTACTGATGCATCGGTCCATTTTCTAGCTTCAAAATCTCAATCTTCGGATCTGTGCAGTCAAAGTAAATAAAATCTTCGTCGATTCGACTGAGTCCAGAACTCAGCAAGAGTAATACAACTCTTCGGTAAGGGTTGTCAGTCATACGCTGGACAGTTGAACGATGGAACGAGATTTGAAGTCCTTGGGGGAATAAAGAGGAGTTGGACCTCGTAATCCAAAGACTAATATTTCGAACTTGACATCTGATGGATATAATTTGCAAGCCTTGTCTGGGTGAAGCCATATAAGAAATCAGCAACCCTGTAAGTGATGGGCAGCAAAATACCCATAAATCTAGCTCTGGTGGCGGACTGAAAATCTCATTTGCACAACAAGAACTAGTCATCATCAACATCCGTAAAAATAAAACAAAAAGGTTTCGGACAATTCTCGTGTCTTGGAACACATTACAACTTGTTAGTGTCATTGGCTACAGAGAGTGAACCTGTCATACAACGAGAATCTGCACAAGGGTTCAGAAACCAAACCCAAGATAGCATAACGGTGACCCTATCAGGTTTTCCAAGGATGAAATCAAAGCATACAACGAGAATCTGCACAAGGGTTCAGAAACCAAACTGAAGATAGCATAACGGTGACCCTATCAAGCCTTCCAAGGATGAAATCAAAGCATACATATGGTACTGGTCTTTAAAAACATCACAAGGGTAAATATTTGGCAATAGCATATTGTTTCTAGAAGACTTGATTAGAAAATATTGCAAAATTTTTGCAATATATTGAATCAGTCTTGTTAGAGATAAAAAATTTGAAACAAAGTTTTCAATATTGAGTTATATTTGATAAATATTTTTATTTCTAGTGCAATCAATTTTTTTGAGATCTTTTGTATTGATTCACAAATAGTTAGTTGATTATAATCGTTGATTTTTTTATTTTACAACTCATCCACTTGTATCTAATGAATATAGTACCAAGTTAAATACTTCTTTAAAAAGGAATAATTTTATTTGATAAGCTAATCATATAAAGAATTATAAGGTATGAGATCTAGAAATTATTTTTAAAACATTCATTAAGATTTTTCTTTCAATTTGCAAGCTACATTGAAAAAGTAGAAATATTTTTTATGCTATTTGACAAGAACAAATTTCCACTCCTGAATGTTGTAGAGTGAAAAATTAGTATATTCGCTATAAAAGCAAAAATTCTTATACAATCTCCTGAAGAGCAAGGATTGTTGTTCACGAACCTCAAATAATCACATCAAACGATAGAATATTACAAGAATTGTTTACTAGTTTATCATCAAATCAGATTAACACAGCTCCTATCATGGGTTGATTCATTAATTTCTGAAGATCAAAATATTGATATTGAGCATGGTGATGGCATTGTGATCTTGGAAGAAAAAGAGTAGTGTTCTTATAGAGAAGCTCAATAAGCTGGAGTAGAGTACTACCAAGAAGTGTGCGATGCAATTGTTGATAGATATAAACATTAAAGAATTGATGTAGCTTCCAAGAATTCAAATATTGATTGATAACAAACGTACGTTCAAGCTTAAGTACACTCTAATAGATGATGAGAGTAAAAATTTCAAAATCAAATTGATGACTATAGATTTCACACAAGAGAATGATTAGGATTACAACAATTTTTTTTTACCTCTAGCAAAATCTGCTACAATTCTACTAATGCACTCACTTTAGTCAAATGATTATGATTATAACATCTCTTTATAGATCTTTGAAAGAATAAATCTACATAATATAATTTATTGATTTCAAGAACAAAAGTTAAGATATGTCAAAAAAAGTCAAAATTGTTAAATCAAAAGTGAAATGTTGATGAGTTCATAAAAGCACAAGGATTTTCGCGGAGTATTTATGATCTATATGTATACATGAAGAAGATAAATTGAGTAGTTTAAGTAGATGATTTTTTTATTTTGACAAAGAATCAATATTTTATTGACAGATCTGAAAACCAGCTAAAGTATGCATTTAAGATGAAATATGTGAATAAATCCAGGAGATTATTAGAGATGTATGTTTATAGATATTTGGAAAATAAAATACTATGGTTGAATCAAAACAGGTATGTTCAACGTGTGTTTGCCTACAGAAGTATAAACTACTTTGACAACACACTTTTAATATTTTTCTGCTTAATATTCTATTAATTTCATAAAAAAATAAAAGATATAATCAATTTCTTATGACAAAGCTATGGATTGCATAATGTATTTGATGTTGTGCACAAAAATTGATATTGTTTTAACTATGGACAAGATGAGAAGTTTAGTTGGAAACAATGAAATGAAAACTATCACATCATCAGAGAGGGATTTTGTTAATATTAACTAACGTGTGATTTTAATTCAGGTGGCCAAACCCTAATTGGGATTTAGGTTTTGCTCTTCACTGTAAAGGAGGGGTAGACAAAGCTCTATTTGAATATCTTATGATTTTTTTATCAATAAAAACTTTTCTGCTTTTTCCGTCCTGTTTTTTCCTCGTGTTTTAGTGAATTCTTTGCATTATGCAAGTCCAAGTCCATATTTCAAGTACCGAATAATTGTGTATTTTTTAACATATGTTAGCTACATGGTTGTATAGACGAACTTGCCTCGAATCAGGTAATTTTCGCAGCTGTTATTCAAATATTTGACAGAATCGCTCCACCTTTCGTCGTAAGGTTAAACAAAACCACGTTGATCAGCTAGATTTGTTGGAAAGCATTTACCTTCATGCATACCGGAGTGATTAAGGTAGAAATACTAGAGTGCAGATAATCAAAAAGTGACTCTAGTCGACAACACTTTGGTACCAGAATAGATTGTACGTAGAACCATTTGAGTCCCTAATCTTTCAACAAAGTAAAAGGTTTCCAGTATTGCTTTCCAGCGCCAGAAAAAGCATTAAATTGCTTCTTGGTGAAGAACTGAAAGTCAGAACATATTCTTACATAGTCATGACATGTAAGTGAACACTTTGGAGAATGATCGAATATTCGAACAGTTTTCCAATGATGAGAACCAGTCACTGCCTGACTTGATCAGTCCTTCAGACATGCAATTTCAGGGTTCATTAGAGGTTTTAGCGACTGTGATGTCCAAGGGTAGTGAATGTGACGTGCGTCCATGGCCAGCTCTGCGAACTAAGAGCTCATCAGCGAAAACCTGACATCTGAGAAAAGTTCGAGTCAACAGTCCAAACCAGCGTATACAAGCTTGATAACATCGTACTTCACTGCACTAAGTCATGATCTAGTGCAAGAGTAGCCAGCCGATTGTTCCTCGCGTTCAGTCTTAGTAGAACACTTTCTCCGGTCTCACTGATTGGCAATCCTAGGCACCGTGGCCTGGCTTTACGGATGGATAGTCGCGAGCTCAGAAGCGGAAATTATTGATGCCAACAAGCGCACGTGAAGGTAATAGGTGTTATAGACTTCCTGGACCTTCCGATAAGGACGACAAATTATGCACAGAAATTTGAGCCTGTAGTCTCTATCAACATTCGTAGCATGGGCCCGGGTTTCCTTTTCTGCCGGCAAGGATTTGGACAGCCTTGACGCTCAGCAGAAGCACCTGTATCCGACATAGGAGCGTTAATGTCTGAGAAATGTGAGAAATGGTTTACAAGAGCCTATTTTTGGGGAGGGATTTGTGAACAAACTCATTTACCAGGAGCGAAGGAATGAAGTGTCCAAGTTTCGCCGAACCGAAGTGTGTTAGGATTAGACCTTAACCCCGAGGCGTTCGAGATTGACTACTTATACGGGCCTCGGTTCATGGAGCACCATCAGATCCCTTGGGTCAGCTCCCTACAGCGAAGCTTACTTCTGCTTTATGACATAGACCTTCAGAGGACGTGAAGCTACGACGCAATAGGGGTTAGCAATCGGACATCGTAGAACTGGACTACTGATCGAAAGCTGTATAGTAGCAGACTTATTAAGGGGTAGAGGTGGTGCATGGTACCGGTGCTGGCGGAGAATGCCCGTCCAGATGTTCTGATACGAGTGGCAAGGTGCAATATTTATATCATGAACAGCGGCACATTGTGGAAAGCAGTCAAATCAGTGGACAAAGTTGTAGCTTTAAAAATTCTATTCTGCTTGCTTTCTTTTCATTCGGGAAACCTAAGGCCGACGATCATTCTGGCATGAGGACAAATTCCTAAGTCTCATGGCTCTGGTAGTGGACAAAGTGTACGCAAATCCAGGAATTTTTCTCCAAAGACTATACTTGGCAGTAGCTATGCCGTCGCTAGCCTAGCCTAGTCATATCTAGTACGCAGATTCGGTATAAGGAAATGCAGAGACATGTTCTCAGCAATGGCAGATACTCTGATTATGGCAAGGCTATGGGTATAGTGCAGCTCGAGGCGTGAATGTAGCCGTCTTTCTGATACTCGGTAACTACATTCCTTTGCATTCCTGACACATGCTGTAAAAATAATACACACAATCGTGGACACGTCTCTGATCTCGATCGGTCAGATTGATTGAATGAGGCACCGTTCTACATTCCGGGATTACGAGCGAACGAGCGATTAGCACGTACTTCCAAGCTCACAGAATAGTGCGCCTAGATGGAGCATTTATAGAAGCCGAGTCCACAGCTAGCGCAGCGAACCTAAGGTTTTAGGTTTTCGATCTGTGGAAAATATTGTTTTTAATCCCAGTGATGTACACGTATCTCCTTTCTCGGATTCTGCACAACCGTGATCTTCAGTGGAAACACCATTTCCTTCTCATGTCAGCCCTCACTCCGAGCCCATCCCATCGTACTGTTTGCAAAAAGCATCTGACTCGCGGCCTTTTCCCCAGCTTGTGTTACAGGCTGCTGGCGACTGAGTGGCCATCGTGAGTGCTGGCTGACTCTTCTTTGACGTGAGTTTGCTCTCGACGTTGTGGTCTCGACGCTGGACTGGTCTGCTGTCGCGATCTGAGTGGCCATGGAGGAAGGTTCACTGACTGCATCGGGTATCATTCAACAGTTGCACTGCTGCTCTCGGACGACCGAGCGAGCTGTCGTCCAGTGTATATTGTGGAGGGTCATGAGGAGGTGACGAGTTTCGACACTCAGCACCGCAGTGTACCTTGTAGGTTCCTTTGGGCCTGAGCATGCCAGGCCAGGCCAGGCCAGGGCAGATTACTTCCACTGTCAGGTGAGTACCATGAGCACTGACGCATAAAGCGAGCTATGCAGAAGTTTCTGAAGCTCGCTCTGGAACGACACGCTCGAGTACTTCGTGGTCCCACATACAACAGCTGTCGGAAATCAGAGTACATTGCTGCGCTGCTTTGTAACTGGATGGTCGTACTTCGAGAATAAGTACCAACGACGTTATTCTCCTGCCCCAGGAATATACATCAACCAGTCTCACTCAGCGAAGCGAGATTAATGTCTTCCGATTTGCAGCCATAGCTGTAGCCCTGTTGTAACCGGTCTAGCTTTTCGCACCTCATATATATCAACACCTCGAGCCAAGTCTGAGTGTCAAGAGCTATCGAAGCCAGTCCGGAAAAATGTAAGTGGATTCGATGCTTGAATGAATTAATAGTATGTATAACAAAGACTAACTGGCCCACCTTCCTCCTAATTTCACTACAAATTTACAAGTTGTGCCGCTTTTGGACACATGACAAACTATGCCAGCGAATGAAGCCTGGAAGCAGTTCCACCTTTCCCACAGGTGGAATCGGTGCAAGCTCTAGCTCATCAAAAACTCAAATCCCAAAAAACCAAAATCGCGCTGAACCACCTACATCGCCTCGATCCGCTGTACAAGATGTTGAGCATTCCTATGCGTGAGTCTGATACGCAAGCTCTCTAATTCTATCTGATATGGTCTTGAGCTTCTCGTCTGTCTGTCTGTCTGCCTGCCTGCCTGCCTGCCTGTCTACTTATAGTCCCTTATATACCCGCAGTGGCAAGCGTGGGGTCACGAGGACTTGTAAGGGTCGTGCCTTGGGCATGGTTGGACCACAACCTTCCTCCATGTCTACATCGTCGCATTTCATGCCGATGGGAAGAGCTAAATCGCATGTGTGCAGAAGCTGAGCTAATGTGAATTGCACGATGCTCAAGCCTAGGTTCAGGCCCACGCAGATTCTCCTGCCGGCTCCGAAGGGCAGGAGCTCGAAGTCCTCGCCTTTCACATCCGACGATCTTCTTCTGAACCGATCCGGATCGAACGCCAGCGGATTGTCCCATATTTTGGGATCTCTCTGAATGGCGTACAAGTTTATGACCACTCTCGTCTTGCTCGGCAGCTCGTATCCGCCTATTTTCGTAGCTATCGTCGACTCCATCGGTGCACATAATGGCAGCACCGGATGCAATCGAAACGATTCTTTCACCACTGCATGAAGGTACTTGAGGCGTGCGAGATCTGATTCCTCCACCACCCTATCTTTACCCACCACGAAGTCCAGCTCCCTTTGAACCTTCTGTCTGATCTCTGGATGGCGCATCAGCTCGGTCAGTGTCCACTCCACTTGATTGGAGAACGTCTCGGTCCCGCCCGTCATCAAGTCCTGCAGTCGATCAAAGCCAAGACATTGTCGAGAACATCCAGATGGCCGAATTTAATAACTATTAAAAATTTCATTCGGAAGCTCAAGGCCTAATTCATTGTGGGGGATTGCATGCATGGAAGATATGCCTCGAGTTTGACGAAGATACTGTTTCAGGAATCATCGATGAATATGGACACCATTTCTGATCCCTTGAGCAGGATTATATGAAGCCTTTCATGCTAGTAGAAAAACCTCGATGGCCTGAATGCTACGTACCTTGAGCAAAGCTTTCACATGCTCATCTGTCCGCTGGCGCCGGTGCATTTCGGTCTGCAGTGACAGAATCAAGTCCACGACGTCCTGAATTCCAGTGGTTCGAGGCCGCTGGCGGTGATCTTTCACTATAGCGGAGAGGAATCTTTCATAAACTCGGTAGAAGTACCACAGCTTCCAGTCCCAGACATCAGAATCGAGCTTTCTGAAGCCGGGGATGAATTCTCTCAACTGCCCCGTGAAGAAGCCTCCGCTGCTCAGACTCGCCACCATGTTCTGGAATGCCTTGGCCTCCTTGTAGTTCTCGGACTTCATAGACTTGGGACCGAAGTAGCTCTTGCCGAAAAGCATCTGAGTCGTGTGGTTGTACGCGAGCTCGTGCAGTTTCTTGCTCAATTGCACCACGCTGCCGTCGTGGCCCTCCTTCAATGCGCGCTTCACCATGCTCAAGATTTCTTCTCGGCGCACCTCCTGCCAGCCTCCGTAGGCTGTCTTGAGCGGTGACTCTGTGTAATGAACCGCTTCGTATACCACTGCGGCTTTACAGGTCAACCACTGCAATTCACCGCGACCTACATCATTGGGTTGTTCGAGCTACATTACTTACAAAGCAATTCAAGCAGTCTGTCAACAATCCTTGCACCCCGGAAATCTGCCCGACCACATCGACCGCTGGGTTTTACGAGCCACGAAGCCCATGAGCAATTTTCCGACAGAATCCCCAAGCCTCACTTCAATGTTCAGCGTTTGCAACCAGCCCCTTGTAACTCGAAGACCTTCAGACAAATTTGAAGGTTTGGAGTAACAGAGGATTTAACGAGGGGAGAAAATTGAGCCTTTCCCATGAAACATGGAGAATTTCTAAATGAAAATGGGACATGATGTAGAAAAGGCATGCGAGCTCGATAGGGTCGAGCAATTAATCATGCAAGCTGTGGAAATGCCAGACAGAAGAAGTGAAGTGTAGGCAATGCAGTCAAATTCTCATTCTGATCGCGCGTGTGGGTAATGGATGCAGGTTTCCAGTCGGGAATGCAAGCTCCGTCATCCGATGGCTCCTTGCCTCGCTGCGAGCGAGCACGAGCGGCGTTGAGTACCAGAAAGGCTGAAGGAGCTGCTGCTGCTGCTGACAGCGCCGGCAGTGGAACGAGCGAGCGAGCGAGCGAGCGAGGGAAGAATGTGTGTCCGAATACGGTCTCAAAATAGCAAGCGGTAGAGGAGGAGGAGGAGGAGGAAAAGGATACTGGGGACTCAGAGACGCACACGTGCAAATTAAGGACCTGCAAATTGAGGACCTGCGGGAGAGAGGAGGAGGAGGAGGAGGAGGGCTCACCTGGAATTGTTCGAGGCGCTTGACGGGGAAGAGATTGGAGGAGGCTACTCTACGCACGAAGCGCCATTGGTCGCGCAGGGGAGCGAGAATGAGGCCGCGATTATTATAGTGGAGGATTTCGCCGGTGAGGGTGCGCGGGCGGGAGGAAGCGAACAGGTGGTCCTGCGTGCTGAACACCTCCTCCGCCATTTCAGCCGAGGAAACGACGATCGTGGGCACAGAGCCCAGCTGCAGAAACATGAGCGATCCGTATTGCTTGGACAGATCCGTCAGCGCCTGGTGTGGCAGTTTGCCGAGTTGTAAGAGGTTTCCGACCACGGGCCATCCTTGCGGTCCGGGTGGCAGTCGCAACGATTTGTAGTCGATGGACTTCTCCAGCAAGTTCAGGAAGATGTACACGAAGAGGCCCACGATGCCAATCAAAGTCGTTAGCATGTTGTGCTGCCCCAGCCAGGTTGACAGAGTGATACTCGATCCGTCCATGGCGGTCATGGCCTCAGCCTGATTCAATCTCTTCTCGAGATCGTCAACGAACACACGATCGAGCCTCGTCTCAGCTGCTGCTGCCTACGGACGTCCGCTGTCACATCTTTCTCTCACGTCTGCCGAATCCTCGACTCTTCTGCTGACTGCTTCCTCTGATTTTCCTCCATCATCATCATCATGCTCATCAACCCTCTGACTCCCCAGACCTTCTCCTTCTCCTCCTTCTCTCTCTCTCTCTTTCTCTTTCTCTTTCTCTCTCCGCAGCCCTCAGTCCTCAGTCCTCAGCTCCGCCAATCGATCGCCCGAATCTCTGACTCTGCTCTACTCTACTCTACTCTGCTCAGCTCCGCTCTCCTCTCCTCTGCTCTTCTGGAAAGTCCAGCAGATGGTCTCTCTTCCAAATTCTGACTCTCGAGCTCTCTCGCTCGCTACGTGTTAACGATTGTGATCGCTCGCTAGTGCGAGCATCTGAGACCCGGATTGGGGCCCGAGAGCGAATCGAGAGAGCTGGGAAAATATGAATTTTCCATCGTCTGCGCAATGCAAAATATCTATTGGGTACATGAGCAAGTGCAATTGGAAGTTAGCAGTTTTGTCCTTTAATATTTCTATTGGGAATGATTGCACGTTTTGACGGGAAATGATTGCACGAACGAAGACACCACCACTAAAGCGACTTTCGTAATCTAGAAAAAGGGAGAATCTGCTCATTGGAAGAGACCCACTGAACTTTGATTGACATTTGGTGGACTCATGCCTTGTGAGCTAGCTCTTACTTTTCATTAGAAAAAAGAGCAGACAAATATACTTTAGCAGGGGAAACTCTACTGAGGACGCAAGAGACAACGGTCACCCTGAGGGCTCATATTCTCTTTCGAGGAGGCTCGAGACTTCGTAAACCTTGGTTGGTAAAAGTATCATTGGGTCAGGAACAAGGATCTGATGCCAGAGTTAGTGCGGCTAAGCTCCTCTAAACCTTCTACATCTGGGAGCATATACAGTTGGCGTACATTGCAAAAGAACGGCGAGCTTATGCTGGTACACTGTGGACCACTGATTTCTTTTCAACGAGCTCATGTGGGTCGATACTGTGCATGTCCCGATGAGCCAACCTTCTCCCCATGGATATTAATTAAAGTGCAGGCAGATCTTGGTTGTTTTTCCGGGGATCTACAGTAGAATTCCTTGACCGGTTTCTATCAAAACTATTGAGCAGCGTTGGTTCCACTTGCTAAAGGACAACGTCCTCCTCGACCACTTTCGAGTCGTTTGATTCTCGAGCTGGTTGACAGTTGGGCCCGACTGTCAGTTTCCGAGCGTTTTCCATCCCTTTTATGTCACATGTTGGATCTTGATTTGTAATTTTGGCATCGTGTCCGGTCGTCGCTCAGATTCTTCCACTAATACTTGACATTTGGATCTCTTCCTTTCGTTCTTCTCAACCCTTCTACTCTGTCAGCGATATTTTCCTAACCGGGGTTAAGAAGTGATTCATGCCTCTTCTACTTCTCACGAGTGTGACCTTAGAATATAAGCTGACTGGACATTGTCATCACTCTCACTTCTTACGTAGCACGTAGCTTGCTGACTAGCCTAATTATTGGTAGCAATACTGCATTCGCAAGTGGGTCAGCTCTAAGAGAGAAGCTTAAATTCTTCATTCAAAATTCTGGAAAGCATTAGGACGTTATATAAAGAGGCCTTCCACATGCAATAAGTTTGAGGGGGTTAACATTATCCCCACTGCGGTTTTCACATGAGCATCATGTGTGCATGTTGTCGACGAATATAAGTTGGTAGCAGGTTTTAGACATTCTGAGCATATTAAGGTGTGGTCCAGCTATTTTTGTAAGAATGTAAATGAAGTTCTTCCTGACATTAGACCTTCATACATATCGATCGCTCTTCTAATGCAAACACCTGGCCCTTTTTATCAGTGGCATGGGCTCCGCCAAATGCTTTAGCACTTTTAGTTGTGACAGACGAGTGGTTTGAACAAGTGTCTTTCAGAATGCTTTTTCACGAGGTCTCACCCGAAGTCGCTTCTTTTGATGGCATGCTAAATGTTCACGAGCTTTCCACATGCATCACTTTTCTTCCTTTTTATTCCATAATTTCGTGACATTGTGTGAATCTTCAGGTGCCCCAAATGTGGTTCCTCTTTCGTTTGTATTCTACGAGATGTCCGGAAAAAGCTGCGGTCCAGAGATGTTTGAGAGCTCCAATAGAACAAAAATGCACTTCGTGTGGCAATAAATGAAGAGGAACTGACCTTATCTGGAATACAAAATATAAATACACATTCTAAGCAGTTGCATGTTTAATAGAATACCGTGTGCAGCTGTGACTCCAACTCACAATGGCAGCCAGCCGAGACTTTGACATTTTGGAATGGTTCTTGAGGACAGTCAACATTCTGACACTTATACCCCCACTACCAATCCAAGCACATACAATAGTAGAAAATGTTGTCTTTCTTTCGGGGCAGGGCACATATTGCCGATCACGTGACGTCAAGTGCATGAAAATGTCAGCTATACACCATCCACATACAACCGAGAGTGCGCATCGCCGAAGTTGTCTCGCTTTTTCATGATAAGTGAAATTTAACATGTTTTGTATGTTTCGTAATCGGTTAGAAGAAGGTGTGCTTCTTCGAAACTGGGGCTTGACCGAAGTCTCTACAACCTGCACCTCGAATTTGTCTCAAGAGTCAACAACCATGCATTCTGCATGCATCACCTACGCTTTTGTCCGCTAGAATCACCCTCCGCGTTTTATGGTTATGGTGCTCTCAACCTTCCTGTGTCTTATCGCCCTCTACAACTGTTGTTACAGGTATTCGTCAAAATCTACCAGGAAGGGTTTCTTCTATGGTGCCAACTTGAAATTTGTGCATATTGTTCCTTAAGTAGCATATTCACATAAAATGGTCTCAAATTTTGTGCCTATAATTTGCACTCGTGCAAGAGCGTTAAGTACACTGCTATGCAACTCTACATTTGTACTTTTAATATTCTTTCATCTTTCTTATCCTCCTGAACTTACTAATCTGTAGCATGACATACTGTATGTCTACATATTTCCGGTTTGTCTGGGTGGCCATAACAAATTATGATATCGAAAAGATCTGGAGTTCTGATTTTATACTTGCGGTAATGAAAAGTAATTGCTATTACGCAGCTGTTCCTGACACTGTAGTGGTCAACCAGATATTGAGAATAACATGTTTGTGCTGTACAGTATTCTTTCATGTCTTGTGGGAGAATACTGTACGAATTCTGCAGAGCCGACGTTCAGGTCCTGTTTACTTGTCGAGGTAAAGTTCTCGCACAGTATTTCTTTCATACCTTACGGTTGCATACCGTACGAATTCTGCGATGTCCACTTTCAGCCACGGTCTACGTCAGTTTTCGCTATTGATCCAGCTGGCTGTCAGACTAGCCAAATATGAACGTACCCCGTATTCTGTTTCGTTTGGGATGACTCGTCCAAAGCTGGAGAATAACTACGATCCACTGGTAGTTACTGAGCTGCAACCATGGATTTTCTTGGAACGTTTGCGAGATCTTGTACCCAATTGGATATTCTTGCTCCCCACTTTTGAAAATATGTGTGCAACATCGTGACTCCAATGAGACGGAGGTAATAAATATATATATCGAGGAGGATCAGAACGTCATGGTTTAAAGGCATGCACTGGACTATTGGGTGAGAATGAGATGAGATGAGTAAATGAAGGCATGCAAGAATAAGTACATGGATGAGATCTGACGAACTTTGGCGTTGTGCAAAGGCGAGTGGCAACAATCCACTAGGAAGGAACGAGCGAAACAAAAAGGACAACCCCGTCCAAGCAATCGTCCTATCTAGTTGATCCACGTTGTAGACGAGCCCTGTTACTAGTGCTCTCAAAGGTGCAACATTCGACATCCAACCGAGTTGGAGGAATTGGAGCCGTGCGGCAGGAAGAGGATATCAGCGATCGAAACTTTCGCAACTTGAAACAGGATAAGCACCAGGTTGTAAACTTGTAAACTTGCAAGTTGTAAACTTTCATCAAATGTCGTTTCACCAACTCCCTTGCTTCTTTTTGATTCTGCACAGTCTGTTTAGTTTAGGTTTAGTCGAGGTTCCAATTTTGAGATTTTGCCTCTGTTTGAATAAGACATTACGTCCTTGCTCCGAGCAGCAGTTTCAAACTCCTTCACTCGAGTCCATGGAAAAACATGGGTTGAGCAAGAGGTGAAATCACTAAGACATAAAGTCATAAAGAAGCGTAAAATTGTGGATTGCCTCTATTAGTCCGTGTCGATGTTCCTTTAGCCGTGTCTGTTCATTTCATTCTTCTAAGAAATCTGATTGGCATTTCAATGTCCCTGTCTATGTTTTCATCTTCCTTCCAAACTACACATCTCAGAAGTGTGTGTACCTCCAGCTACCTTATAATACAGAGCCGATTTATTCTACTGACATGAATATATCGGATGCACGTCCAAATTCATAAGATCGTCTGACAGGTTGTATGGCTTTCCAGCTAATAACACTAACCGTTTGCTGGCTATTTCTTTCGATAAGTAAGAAAAAGATGTCTGGCATCATGTCTAAGACTGCAACAAACACTTAATGACATTTTCGAATGCACGGAGATTGCAAACCCAAGAATACTAATATTGCACCTATTGGATTTGAACATTTGAACTTACTCCGATACTGATTGTGCAATGTGTTTGAATGAGAGAGATTAGAGAAAAGCTACAGCGATTAGACTTCTATCAGGATCAAAGCTCAAAGTAATAAGCGTGCGGCTTGTCTAGGTCCTAACTAGATTTGCAATCAGAAACAAGAGAAGTCTACGACATAGGAAACACAGCTTTTCAAGGCACCGGACCTTCAATCACTGCTGTCTGAAATGACCAGGAATATAGCTCTTTCTTTCACGTGCTCTAAGATGGCGGCTTGCACCCGATCTCATGCATGACCTAGAAGGGCTGCATATCTGATTTTCAAACCGTGTCCGCACTCAAGTATCTGTCACAAATCTCAAGGGGCCAGATGCCAGAGAAAGGAAAAGCTCACGATTCTGGAGACCCATTGAAAGAGAGTGGTGATCGCGATCGAACAGCATTTCTAGCGTGCTGTCAGCTCAAAACAGTGATGCGCAAAGCGTCCACGTGAAAGGCATTTCACGACGATTACTACGACGATTACTGAATCATTTCACCAACGGTGTAAGCTCAAGAAACATGTAATCCTGTGCATTAGTCTCAGCCGCCGATTGCGGAAGGCAGTACGCACTCGAGAAAAGAAGGCTCAATAGCTGCCATGATAAACGTGGGGCTTTTCTCGGCCCCTGTGCATGACTCATTCATTCTCTTTCCGCCTCGACCAATTTCAGAGTTTCTTTCGGGTACATGAAGGACGCATGAGTTCAACAACTACACATCATCTTCGCACGCAGTACATATCCTTCATTTGTTTCATGAATGTCTCGCAACACGTCCGGCAAGTAGATTGACTAGGAATTACTCAGTATTCGGCAACCTGAATGTGGACAGGTATCTCATGCTTCACAGTACATGTACCATGACGGATGCATTCATACCTTATCCAGCCATCTGGAAAACTGGAGATGCATGTGAAATTCAACTTAATTCTACTCTTGTGATGAAGAAAATATCAAATGTATGTATATAGCTGACACTTTGAGAATCATAGGAGAATAAAAGAATTCTCATAGTGCTTCAACGCGGTCTATCGTCTTCTGTCCAGTTGTCCTGCTACAGGCGTCCAGATCATCAGAGCCCAAGATCTAACTTCAATTCGCTCATCATTCACTGCTCTCTTCCACTTCTCCACTGAAACTCTGTTTTTCTGTGACAGATTGCTTCCTATGGAACAAAGCTTGTTGGAAGGATACAATGTCACATTGTCCATGTAACATTGAAGCCTGCGAGATAAGTTCAATACCGTTTATGGTACAGATGTAATGAACACACTGCAATCTACGATACAGAGTCACGTCGGATGTGTATAATCGAGTGCAAATTCTTCTGCTTTAACATACTTAAAAAGCTTCCAGTACTGTTCAGGAGAAAGAGGTGTACACGCATGAAGCGATCCAGACAAATGAGGTTCCCTTGTATGTTACGGAACTCCCACGGTCGGACATATTTGTGCCCTGAAGCCAGTACATGATTTGCGTGTAAAAGCGCTGGTGTTCTAAATGGAGGGCATTCGATTCCAGTACCAAATAGCAGGACTTTCTTCGATGGTCCTCTGAGTGTTCCAGTGAACAAACCAATCCTTGGTATGAACCTTCTGACCAGATCTGAAGGGCAAGAGATACCTGGAAGGTGGTAAAAGTTACGAATGTGAATCATGCACCGAGATAATCAGCTGCAGGGATTATACTGCAGAAAACTATGATCAGTCTGGCGTTTGCAAAGAATTTGCTGAATAGCGAGGCGCAGGGAAGATGTTACCCGATTGGACGCTAAAACGAACATTTACATCCTCCTGAGTTTCCACACAGAAACAGAGTCCATGGCAATGACCGAAACCACGAAAGTCCCACATCTTTTTTTGTAAAAGTGGATTCTCAGACGACGGTTGAGTTCAACTACCGAACTAACATTTGATAGGTGACAGAGACGGACTTGGATGTAATGAATTGTGCAATGCGTGACGTGGTGATGAAAAGCTGCGTGAATTAACTTGCACTGGAATCTGCAGTAGAATCAATTTCCGTCGCTCCATAGTCGAATGCAGCACCTCTTTGCTTTAACCGGAAGCAATTATCTATACCTTCGTAAGTTGACGCCCAAATTACATATATGGATCGCTCCTGTGGGACCAAGTAATGTCCTCTAGATGATGCCAAATCTAGTACACGATCAGCCACAGGTTGATGTTCCATAACCTGCAGATCTTATATTCAACGCATTCATCACAGTAGCGAATCCGGTCCCTATCAGACTGGAAAGCGATATTTCTCGGCCCACAAAAGGCAGTAGAACTTTGAGTGTGCAGTATTGAATTTGCAAGCCCGTCGATTATGTGAGAATGACTCAACGACAGGAAAGCGTCGCCGACGCCAGAGTTGTAAAGTTGTGAGAGCTTGGTCAGCTCCAAGCCCCACATACACACAGCGTACCACTCGCATCCTTAGAAGGAGCGGTGACTCACAAGCGTGAGGTGTAAATGCTTCACAGCGGCCGTCAGAGCTTGACATGAATCTGTCTTTTGAGACAAGGTCACAAGACATTTGTCTTATCTCGACAAAAGGGAGATGAATGCTCATGCATCCACATCTTCCGGGCAGTAGAATCCGATAGTCCGGAACTGCAGACGAGGTCACCTTCTAGACCTAAACGATACAACCGTGCCTGGTCAAGAATACAACATTTACTCTCGTCCATATCTTCCTTTCGATGGGGTCCGAAAAATCTATCCGACCATCCTGTTTCTCTTTTTTGTATACCTTTTCCTGCTGTGTACTGCACATTCAATTTTCAGGACTAGGATTTTACATACACCCAAGGGACTCTGTACATTCCCTTGTGAGATAACGGGAACTCTGCTGATTTCCTATAACCAGAAAGAATGGCAGTGGTAGACTTCTGGATCCAGCAAGTCTTCCACAGCAAGTTTCGTGCCATATCTTGTTTTCTATGTCTGCAGTACAAAGAGGCACGTGAACAGAGGCAGTTTTCCAATCAGGTCGTGCATCGACCAACCTTGTGCCGTGTCTGCACACACTGTAGTGACAGTATGGGAAAGGTGGGCGACTGTGTTTCTCTCTCTCTCTCTCTGTCGATGGATCATCTGATCTTAAATGTCCGAGTTGAAGCTCCATTTTCTTCTGTAGACGTTGCCTTAAATGGACAAGCAGCTGCGACCGTTTCAAGGTCCAGCAGCGCGAGAAGTGAGAGCATATGCTTGAAATGAGAATGTCGTGATGCACAGAATCAATTCTTCCTTTCCTCCTTTTTGCTTTGTACATGTAGCCAGCAACTGCAGAACTGAATGAATTTAACTTGCCAACGAACACAGTGGCATGATTCCAAGCAAATGCAAAACCCATAAGTAGAGCAGAGAAAGTCGTACCCATTCAAACATATAGATTTTTTAGATGTGCATTTTTCAATCGTACGATTACGGTTCTTCAACGTTCACATTTAGGATAGAGACTTCTATCGCATCAAGTAGACCACATACAGCAGCTTACTGCGTTCGGCGCGCCGTGACAAGCCGAACGGCTATGCGGATCTGGAGGGACCGCGTCCCTGCCTCCAAATGTGTGGGGGAAGGCTATAATCCCGCGCTCCTTCCCCATCCATACTCTTCTGACGTCTTTCATTGTCCCCGTCTCTCACCCTCTCGCTCACTACCATCATCCCTCCTTTGCCTCAACTTCAATCAGTCGGCTCTCACTGTCGTCGTCACTCAGGCTTCAATTTCAACCACGTAGCTCTTACTATCGTCGTCCCTCAGACTCATACACCATGGCTACCTCCAAGCCCACCCTTGTCATCATCCACGGCGCCTGGCACACGCCCGCAAACTACTCCAGCCTTACCACGGCCCTCGAGGCCGCTGGCTACGAGGTTGATGTGCCCCGCCTGCCGTCCATGAACGAGGCTCGCCCACCAACTGCTGACCTCGGTACCGACACGGATCACGTACGCTCCTACGTCGAGAAGCTCGTCAACGACGGAAAAGCCGTCGTCGTCATCATGCACTCGTACGGTGGCCAGGTCGGCACCAACGCCCTCCATGGCCTGGGCCTCCAGGAGCGCGCAAAGGCGGCCAAAGCTGGCGGCGTCTCGCACCTCATCTACATGTGCGCCTTTGCTCTCCCGGAGGGTGGCAGCATGGTCGGCAAGGTCAAGGAATTTGGCCATGAGGATCTCATCCCGCTGGCCTTCGACTTCGCCGACGACATGACGGTGCTGATCCGCGACCCGAAGACGCTGCTTATCGGTGCTGACTCAGGGCTGGGCGACGACGAGGTCGAGTCGTATCTGCACAAGCTAGTCCGCTGGAACGGCGCGGCCATGTACCAGGAGGTGTCGCAGTGCGCATGGAGGACCATTCCTGTCAGCTACATCTACACGAGCCAAGACATGATTGTGCCACTGGATTACCAGAAGTCCATGGTGGAGGAGTTGCAGAAGCAGGGCCGGGAGGTACAGACCTACCAGCTGGAGACGAGCCACTGCCCGAATTTGACGGCGACGGCAGACGTCGTCGATATCGTCAACAAGGTCGTTGGTTAGACAATGTATTGGCGGTAGAGCTCGGTCTAATCGACGTCCTTGAATAGGGGCAAAAGGTCATAGTAGAAGAGGATTGTTGACATGTTCTTGGGGAAGTTGCGGGGCGGTGTGAAGAGGCGACGAAAACTGAGACGAAGTCATGTGGCAAAGATCATCACGCCTAACATACATTCTCGAGATATTTCTCTCGGCGTATTCAAATTTTTTAAATATCTTCTGAACAAGGAGAGCCACAAACTAACGTAAAACTTTAAGTACATCTTTGTTCTCTTAGTAAGGTTAGTATCTACTTTAAATAATTAACAGCGAAATTTTTATTAGTAAGTTATAGAGTGATTTTTTTTGTTGTTAAAAAATTTCATCATCTTTAAAAAATCTTTTCTTTGCGGATGGCGTTAACCAGGCAAGCACATTGGGTATGTGCAATATTAATTTGTCATTTTCTTGAACTGGCCATCAGCGCAAAGTTTTTGAGGTTGATATCAAACGTACATTGAGGTTAGCGACAAATTTCGTAGAACAAAGTTTGAATTAACCGTGCTTCAAATCCTACCAAGAGTGTTTCTTTCATATTCAAGTGTGTGCTCTCCTTTATGTTTCATAGCAATCTATTTCTACTTTGCCTCAGGCCAATTATTGTTTCAGAATTTAGGATTGCAAGACATCAACTTTTGGCGACCTAAAGAACAAGTTAATACCTCCGGTTCACTTCAGTTAAATATACTAATTTGTCAAAATCAATCCATAGTACCATAGAGTGACCAAGGTTCACTTCAGTTAAATATACTAATTTGTCAAAATCAATCCATAGTACCATAGAGTGACCAAAGTCTGAATATGCTGGTCATCTTCAGTTCAAGTTATGGGTCGATAAATGTGTGCTATTAGATTGTACTTCCAAAGAGCTTCAAAAAAATACAAATTGTGTGAGAATGAACAACTTCTCCTTTCCCTAATGTGGCTTGATCTCCTTAATCTTATCTACTTGGCCCAGGGGTATGTGCGTGACTACTTGTAACGGCATACTGCATGCCAAAATAGATAATTTGTTAGGCTTCTGGATTCTGCCATTGCTCGAAGTTGTAAAGTTGTTGCTTTGCAACGATGTGAGAACGGTTCCAACGGCTTTTGCTTGTTGGCTGCATATGATTATGAAACAGAAAGGAGCCAGGCTACACACTTGAGTATGTACAGCTATTTCAGATTTCCAAAATCATATTGGGAACGATTTGAAGCACTGTTAACTCAAACTATGCTTTATAAAATTAGTCTTTAACTTCATGGTAGACTTGACACCAACCTCAAAAACTGCATGCTGCTGGCCAGTTAATTTCACACAGACCCACTTTGTTTGTCTGCTTAATGTCACACGCAAGGAGAAGATCGTCTTTTTTAAAAATAATGAAGTTTTTAACAACGAAGATAAAGATGACACAACTCGCTAATAGGATTCTCGCTGTTAATTACCTAAGGCAGTTTCTAATCTAGTTAATAGAACAAAGATGTACTTCAAGTGTGACGTCAGTTTGTGGCACTGTTTGTTCTCAAGATTTTTAATAGACTTTGCTTACGCCGAGGGAAATATTTCAAGAAGGTATGTTTGGCGTGGCGGCCTTTGCCACTTTGACACAAGACGGCGTCAATAATTGGCCTGAGGTAGAGTAGAAATAGTTGGATGCGAAGGGTAATCAGAATTTTTCATGTCAAACCCTGACCCGGATACATGCGTTGAGTTTCCACTCCTTCGCTCTATAGAGCTTTCATCTTGCTTGCGGTGAATTATGTGCACATGAGTCCGGCTTCCTTTGGAAGCATTGAGGCGCACTTTGTAATCTGTCGAGGTTTGTTTTGCTGCCCTTCACTTCAAATTCGATGTGCGAGATCCATGAATTAGTCAATCAAGATTCATAAGTTTTCATCTCTTCTTCTTACGAGTCACTCCCGTCATAAAAAAATAATTCTACGCAGCTATATAAAAGGGTCTGAAGATTTGCGTGAATTTACTTACATCAATCATTACATCACATTATGTTGATTTATTGTTTGAACCTAATGCAAGTTACAATCCGCATAATTCCTCTTGAACTTTCTCCCAAATAAGAAACAAATTGCGGTAATAGCTGTCTGAATTTCAAAGTCCTTGTATTCTGTTGGATCAGATCCAGTTGTGATTTATGCCATGAGTTCCAAATTAGAGAATCTACTCATCGGATGATCTTTAATCCGAATATCCCAATGAGAATAGAGAAAACATTATCTGAGTTGCTCTAGAACTTCCAACTTGATTTATAACGTGGTTGTCTTACAATCAACAGGAGTAATAACTAGAAGAATAGATTTAGAATAATTAAAACAAAAGTTAAAATGATGCATGTATATACTCTTCTACAAAATTATCCGAATCTAAATAACATCAAAATCTTAAACATAATTTCTTGTAAAAAGATGATGTGGCGCACATAATTAAGATGAAGATTATAAAATTTGTTCAAATTTTTCACGAAGAAATGAAAAATTGATTTATTCAAAATTTTACTACAGAAAGAAATCTTTTGCACTATTTTAAAATAATTCTACAAATTTTCAAAGACCAAAATCTAATTTTTAAAAAAGTATAATCACATAAAAATATTATTAAAAAATTTAACTTTATAGTAATATTGAAAATGGTTTTTGGATTTATAATTTTCTTTTTCTTTCGAAATCAATTAAAATTTATGTACCCAATACTAGTTGAACAAAAGAAATACATGTAAAGTCTTCACTTGTCGTGAAAGTTTTTCATGAAATATTTTATATATTTTTCAATATAGATGGTAATATAAATATTTTGTCAGAAATATATAGAATTATAATATAAATAATTTATTTATTTATTTATCACAAAATGATAAAATAATTATCAAAAACTCTGTAAATTTATATGAATGATCATTTTGACGACATCGTATCAGATTAACTGAGATGTGAAAAATCAAAATTTGCAAAATGTGACAAGTGGATAATAAACTTCAGGATGTATCATCGAGATGTGTCTACGAGTACCATTCTCGACAAAATCGAGTTCCAATTTGGCGCCCAGAGTTGACTAACATCCACTGTTAGAGATTTGGCGCCAGACTTCGTTTCTGTTCAATAGCGAAACTTGCACCATCGACGTCGGACAATCTGTTTTAATCCGAAATCCGCGACGATTGCCCTCGTCACGACCCATCTGTAGCTGCCGAATCGTCAGACGCAGAAGTCGATTTAATTATGAAAAAAAGGTTTTGTTCGAAGGAACAATCTCCTTGAAAAACTCCGAGCTTTAGACTTCTGAATGAGGAAACAATAGCAGGACGCCAAACTCACTCATACCCAGGTTTTGCTGCCGAATTGAAGTAGGCAGCATCTGCAGACGGAAACTTTTTTACTGTTCTCGAGGAATCACGATTTTGGAGCAAGGATTTCTCTTACAAAGACTCTTGTGCTTCGGGCATCCCAGAGGTAAACACACAAAAGTCTTCTTGCGCGCGGTCAACACACGATAATCGAGATGGATGATGGTCGCACTAAATCCGAATCTGGAAATGATTGGAAGCTAGAGCCGATATTGAGAATTCATAAATTTAAAGACAGTACTTTGTGGGTGCAGAACAAGTGCCACCATCATGATTTGGAACTCCAGGGAACCTCGGCTTCGGAGCTTTGCGGTGGATGGTAGGTATCTTGCAGGTTTAGGACCAGGACTGGTGATTGGGTGGATGTTGGCGAAAGACCGATCATCACAGTCAATTTTGTACACAAAGTTGCTAATCATGTTGTCACACCGGTGTGAGCAAGGAGTAGTGAAAGAAAGCTAGGATGCCCAATCTCAGCTACAATCTTTGGGCTTTTCATAGATGTGATGAGCGTTTAGATAGAGCATTTGGATAAAACATATTTTCTCCTGGGATTGGACTTTGATTCTTGATCAGAAGTGTAACATCGGGCGTCGGTTGTACTCATCACCATTCGGTCGGTGCAAATTCAGTTTGGAGCTTTTGTGCCAAAGCAGTTCGTACTGTTATGCTTAGGACGCAAACAGACTTGACGAGTCCACATTTGACCTTCGAACCTCGTCGCTGAAGGTCGAGGCTCTCGGTCAAACCAACAAACCTTCTATAAAATAGGGCACTCGAGAAAAATATTATAATGAAAGGACGTTGTTTGTTGAGGCTGGAGCATCAAGACTGCCATCTTTGGACATGTGGCCTACACGAGTCAGCACCAGTTCGGCGATCAGATTCCGATGGAAATACCAAACAATGTGTACTCTACTCTTGTACCTCCATTCGCGAAGTATCTGCAGGAGCTAGATCCCCCGAGCCTAGCAGGGTCCCACATCCTGATCAATCGCCCCCCGGATTTGATGTTGCACCGGTCAAGAAGCTTCAAATAGCGCACCGGTGTACGACGACGATGTAATGTATCAACAGATTACACGTAAGAAACATGTAAAGGGAACTTTTGGCACATCAAGGAGGTTCAATCCGATGATGTGGACTCGGGTATACATTATTATGCAATGTTGATGGGTATGATTGATCACCAAACATGTCCATTTTAGTGGTCATTGGACAGTGTTGTGACTGAGAGAGACATGTCCTTGTGACGAGGATCCCAGTTCTGACAAATCAGACGGGACACCGCACCCATACCTCTAGAACTGGTGTCAGTAGAGTCACGGGTAGAACTGCAGTAGGTCGACTCATGCATCCAATCGTACGACACCAGACCCAAGAAAGAGATATTCGATCCGCTGCTGCAGCGGTCTTGAGTTCTCGCAGAAGTCTTTTCCTGATGACCGTGACTCAAAGCGATCGGCAACACCTCAAGGGTCATCTTGAGTTGCTCTGGTATCAGCATCTCTGCGATGCAGGCCTCCAGACTGATTTAGCAAGAAACGATCTTGAAATTATTATGAGTGCAGACAATTGAATAGAGTATACTATTCAATTCAGTTCAATTCAATCCTGAGCGAGATTCTCGATGAGCTGAGCTGTGGCTACGTTTTTTTGCATATTTTGCCGTGAAAAGTTTTGTGAGCATGTTAGGTGGGTCTTGAGTGATGTCACCTGCAAGCAAACTGATGCCTGTTCGCCCGAGGAAGTTTCCTTACCTGGAAAGTACTTAATGGTCGAACTTGCCAGAGCCGGCATGCTTGCTGGTCTCATTTCAACCAATACTGGTACAACAATTTGTGTAGTTAAGTGACTTGTGCAGGTGGACTCTATTCACTTGTTGAAGAGAAAGTCCTCTGCCGGTAAACCGAGAGCTATGGCTGCAAAGCGAACTTCTAGTATGCTCTTCAGAGCGGTCCAGCAAAGCAGGGCTACTGATTCGCAGTTTCTGCGTGGTGTCTCCGGTGTTGTCTCCCAGCAGCAAACTACAACTGTGAACAGAAGTCAACTACCCAGATTTTACTCGTCAAAACCTGAAGTACGTTTCCTTCGCTCTGTTTCCTTGTGAGTGAGTGTCTTCACAAGTTGAGTTACTTGTCTCTGTCGGGGGGCCTAAGGATTGCTCTTCAAAACAATCTGCTGACATTACATATGAGGAAGACATCTACTGAACAGCTTTTGCACCTGCATGCGCCTGCATTATTGAATATTCCAGCTCATGTGTGCATTGCGATTGCGTAATATTTTGCAATATTTTCACAAAAACCTCGTAGGCTGGTAAGAGCTTGAAGATTGTGGGAGTTCTGTACAAAGCAAAGCAGTATGCTGAAAATCCCAAGTTCCTCGGATGTGCTGAAAATGCTTTGGGATTACGGGAGTGGTTGGAGGGTCTCGGCCATCAATACATCGTCACTGATGACAAAGAGGGACCTAACTGTGGTGAGTACCAGATTGCACTGAAAAGCATCTTTGTGCATTTTCGTTCGGTATAGCTCAAATGGTCGTAATATGAAGGAGGAGAGTTTCTTTGATCCTTATCATATCCCCTAACCTATGCGCTTCACAACTGCCGACAAATTCAAATACGAAGCAGAAATTACATAAGCTAGGTTCGCAGAATGTCAATGCATGAGAACACCTTTGAACTCTTCATGGATATTGCCCCTGTCTGTCCAGGTGCGTCCTGTCGCACGAACGCTCAATCAATTTGTCCTTGGTTGAGAGCTGTTTGAAGTGCATTTCGTCACTCCCTCCTCGTTTCCTTTCATTATTGGAAAATCGTTGAGTGCATTGAATGCGTATGATTCCCCCTTCATCATGTGCTTTCAAGGAGTGACACTATTGTTGATTGCTCATTTGGACATGGAGAATCTACTTTTTTTTCAGTTCAGAGGAAAAGGACAGTTTTTCAAACCCGACTATTCCGATTTGGAAGTCTGTCGTGGCTCGTTTCAGGTGTATTTATGGAATAAGAATTTAATTGTACGGAAGGATAGTCGTAAATTCCATGTTTACTGACAATCATAACCCAATTTACGTTCAGAGTTGGAAAAGCACATACCGGATATGGATATTCTGATCACTACACCATTTCATCCGGCGTATATGACACCTGAACGAATCAAGAAGGCCAAGAACTTGAAATTGGCGTTGACAGCAGGCGTGGGATCCGATCACATAAATCTACCCGCTGCAAGTGATGCCGGCATCACAGTGGCGGAGATTTCAGGTGGAGTTGACTGCTACCACCTTATATGTTAACCGCAAATGCTCGTAGGTAGAGACATTCACCACTGGATTGATAGGACGATTCTCCTGCAAAGCTATTAAAGTACTTGAAATGGGTAATGTGTCGTTTAATCCTGATCTCTGAGGCCTGAATGTATGCTATTATAGGAAGCAATACATCGTCAGTGGCAGAGGATGAGCTTCTCAGAATTCTACTTCTCTTGCGCAACTATTTACCGGGCTGGAAGCAGATCACAGCGGGAGGATGGGATGTTGCAGCAGTAGCTTCAAAGTCCTATGACTTGCGAGACAAAGTTGTTGCCACCATTGGAGCTGGTCGCATTGGATATGAGCTTCTAAAGCGGTTGAAGGTGAGCGTATGTACTGAAATTCCTGCAACATTTTGGATATTGGGGACTCAAAGGACTGTCGTACTTGCAGTGGGGGCAAGTGCTTTGATTCTGCTCATCAAGTTCAATGTTGCCTGTTGCAGCCTTTTGATTGTAAGCAGCTACTTTACTGGGACCGGCAGTCGATAGGCAAGGCAAAGGAGGAGGAGACAGGGGCCACTAGAGAACCTGACCTGGAAACTCTGCTTGCAAAATGCGACGTTGTGAGCCTGAACATTCCTCTCACTGAGAAGACAAAGTACATTCCTCTCACTGAGTCTAAGAGCAGTGACTGCTACCCATTTCCTTAAACAATTTGAAGCATTAACTTTTCTCCCTGAACATGTAGGAACATGTTCAATAAGGAGCTGATCAGTAAATTCAAGAGAGGAGCTTACTTGGTCAACAACGCTCGTGGGGCCCTTGTTGACGCAGAAGCCGTCAAAGAAGCATGTGAAAGTGGTCAGCTTGGAGGTAATTTTGGTTCCATTGCTCGGAAGTTTTGCATCAACGAATAACTAACGATTGTTGATCTACTCGTTCAGGGTAGCCGTTTCTTTGCAAAATGATTGCACTGTGGGGGGCACTTACTGTATAAACGTTGCCCATCTCTCTTGTAGGTTACAGTGGGGACGTTTGGAATCAGCAGCCAGCTCCAGCAGATCACCCATGGCGTCATATGCCCAACCATGCCATGACTCCTCATTTATCAGGCACAACACTGGATGGACAGGCAGGAAACCCTTTCTTTTGCTAGTTAATTTGTTTAACTTAGGGATGCATCTTTTATTTCTACTGTAAGCTCATTCAGGGACATCGAGTGATGGAGAATAATTCCATTTAGTGAAAAGCAGATATATGATTGTTAACATCTAAGAGTACGGAGTTCTTGGTATGTCTGGTCGGTGCAGGCAAGATACTCAGCCGGTGTGAAGATAATGCTCGAGCAATTTTTCAATGGGGACAAGTTCGACGAGCAGAACATCATTGTAAAGGGTGGTAAGACTGCTGCCCAGTACCAGTGATCATGATGGTAGATCACATCTCCATCCAGAGGTTGATACGAAAACCAGGAAGAAATAGCTACAAACGATGCTCCTTTGGAGGAACTACATCTTGAATAACAATTTGTATATATACAATCTAATGCTTTTCTAATCAATAAATATCATGTCAAGTTTCAAGTTGGTCAATGTTGCCCAACAATGTTTTGGACAACAACTCTGGATACACCATAAGTTCTTTTCCTGGTCAGTGAATGAGTGACTTGTTATGTGTTTTTCGGAGTTTGACCCTTTGGGTCCCATGGGCTTGATCTATTTACTATTACCATAATACTTCAGTAACCAACTCGAGAGAAAAGTACTCGATGGGACCATTGTGTTCAAGGTGTGCATGGGAATTTTTAAATAATCCGGCTGGCTATTTTGAATTGTATCTCGTCACGCCAATCAATTATAGATTTTCACGGGAACACTGTAGCCTGATGGCTGAAGTATTCCAGTGAGAGAGTATTTTGCCCGATACAGGAAGTACCTCCTTCCACTGGAACATGGGCATTGGGGTACTAAAGGTCCTCTGACTTCCCGGCTGGAAGTCAGAGGACCTTTAGTACCCCAATGCCCAAATATTTTATTCGGCCGCAAAGCGAACCAAGTGCGATAGCTGCCAACTATCGTATCACACGAAATTGTATTGGAACATGTGTGACCGCGTATTGCAGTGCAGTCGGAGGTGTACTTGGGTAAAATGAATCCTCTATTAAATCAACTTTGTACTTGGGTAAAATGAATCCTCTATTAAATCAACTTTGTAAATTTTATAGGGGATTCTGCCTTGAGAAAGTTTAAACTTAATGGTGCGGTTATGAGAACGTTGAGAGAGATGTGTTGATTGCACATGATAAGGTAAAATTTAGATCGTAAATATAATTAAATTTTTGGAACTTTGTTAGCAAATTCATTGGAGGATAGTAGAATAGCAAGAAAGAACCGGAAGAGAGCTTCCACGGGGATGCAACAGCATTGGCAGGATTTAGTGTATGGAATGTTCAGGATCTATGATCAAGATATACTTTTACTATGAAGACTAATAATACCAGTAGTGAACTAAAGTCAATAGGTTCCATATGAAGTTCTCAGCAAGTAACCACATAAACGAAGGTTATCTTTTAAATCATCAAATCATTCTCTAGACTTGTGATCCTAATAGGAGATGGTTTTGCTGGTTGTGAATGTGTAAAAAGTTGAAATTTGTAAGCCAATTGAATGCATCCAAGTGAGACTTGTTTGAATATGGCGTAGCATAGAGAAATAACTAATATAGCGATATTAGCCAATCAAGTCATATTCGAAGAATGATTTACTCTGTTCATTTGAAAGAAATAAGTTCCAGTTGTATTCACTTTGAAATTTTTCAACTTTGTATAATGTTGAAAAAGGAAAAGTCTATAGTTTCCGTTGTATGCAATAATTTAGCATAAACTACAAATTCTGATAGTATTCCTCGGTGAAAATTGGTTACATGAGTTGACGAAAGTTGACTTTAATCAATCAACACAAAGAACTACTTCCGGGACATCGTGGAAATAAAGTGATCACCATGCAGACTAGGAGAAATGGATTTGACCTAGTTTTAAACAAAAAACATGATAAATTTCTACTTTGGAAGATGCAAGTTAAAAATAGACTAAAAGTTACGGATGTGGATAAAGCTGTGAGATCTAAAGCTTTCACTTTCAACAACAATGATTTGAATTATTCTCAGACTTACGTTATCAATATAACAATACTCACATTGTGTTTTTGTATATTGTAAATATCTTATTGATATTCTACATTTATAAATTCTAATTTTAAAGGAAATCAATGCACGTGATGAATCTGCTTTTTACAGAAACTTTAAAACGATTTTTTTTCGGAAAATATCAAATCAATCAAATAGCTCTATAAAAATTGTAAAATTGAAGATTTAACATTGTGATAAAATATCTAAGATCACATTAATGCTTCTGATATTTTGATGATTGATATTTAAAATCTTAAAAAGAACATAAACGATGAGAAAAAATTACTATGATAATTAAGTTGAATATTTGATTCTTATTTTTCAATATCACTTAATATTTTTTTCGTGATATTCTATCACCTATAGAAATTGGAAGTGCTTTGTTACTCGATCATTTATAACAAAAGATAAAAATGTCAATGATGTCAAAATTTTATTTTTTTTTCTTATTAAATATGATTCAAATCTGTTCATAGTACAAAATAACAAAATTGGCAAAAAATCTGTATCAAGACGTAGAACCATATACTGAATTTAATCTTTGAATAAGATGACAATAATAAAATCAAAATATGCAAAAAAAGATATATATATATATATATATGAACAATGTATTAACTGCTATTGCCTGAGGAGTTTGAATGAAAACACCAAAGTGCCATTTTCAACATTTAATTAAATTTCGAATCTACTATGAGAAGCTTTAAAATGAACGTATCTGGATGAATGATTCATCCACATTTCAGTACGTAAACTTGTATCTAAATATTCAGTTTAATATTTGAATCATCATGATATTTTTCCTGACTATGATTTTATTACTTGGATCATGAAAAAAAATGAAACTTGTACATACACTGGGTTCAAATTTTGATTTAAATCATTAAATGAATTGCATCAATTTAGAAAAAGATGCCGTTATTCATTGATAAAAGTGTTGAGAGTTATTGAAATTTCAAAGTGTACCGACAATAGTTGAATTATAAATGGATTTATAAATGAAATCAATCTCAATTATGAAGTGAAAAAAAACTAAAAGAAAAGGTTGGTGGCAAAAAAATCACACCAAAAAAAAATTGTGTGCGATCAAATTGAAATATATTCTAAGTGTTGAACTATTTGCTTCTTACATATTGTGACTATTTTTGTAAGTCATATCTTTGATTGAATGTATGTTATCATGAATTTAATTTTTCTTAAGGGTGATATATATGAGATGATATTCATGAGACAGTCTATGCATTTTGTGAAAATTAATCAAGATCATGAAGCTTTTATATTTTTAATTTTTAATTTTTTTTTAATTAAAACAAGCTTTGTAACAAAAAATACATGATTTGATGATTTCATAAGGCTGCAAGGATTCAAAATATCATGTTTGATCTTTGTGTATACATTTAGAAAGGTAAAATCAAAATTAAATTACTTCATTATTTTAATAAATTATGTGGTTGACATGCATATTGCAGATAAATATAAATCTGCTTTTGATAAATTCAAAAAATTATTTCACTTTTGAGTTTACAATTATAGATCTTCATGCAGAAAAAACACTTTCAAGATGATAAACTACGATAATTGAAGTATGCAAAGCTATGATTTATCAATAGAAATTATTATAAAGAGATTTTTGCAAGATTCAATATGAAAAGTATTATGTGCAATTATTTGCGTTTTTGAGATTTTTATAAGCTTTTAGTGAAGAGATGATGTGGAGAAAGATGACCAAAATTTCTTACAATAGGATAATGTAATAAGGTCTAATAATTTGATATAGGCTTGACATTTTTCTTGTTGTGAACAAAAGTAGTATGCACATATGAAATCTAGAATATATACATTCAAAAGCCAGGAAATGAATGTATACAAATTTCTAGGTTTTGTTGTATTTTGATCTTGAGTTTGATTATAAAATTGTGATATGTCAAATTAAATATCGATTATAAAGATGCTAACTATAAAAAAAAATTGGAAATGAGAACTTTCAAATCTTGTGCAATGTGGTTTTACATTACAAAATAGATTCATGAATTGAAGGTTGTTTTAAAAACCTCATAGTTTAGTCAAATAAAAAAGCTAGGTACTTAGCTTTTTTATTTGATTGAAGTAAAGTGCAACAATAAGGTAAGCATTTTGGTTAAAAGATCTAGTTTAAAAATGAAATAAACACATGTTATTGTGAAATTTCATTGATATTGTAAAAATTGTTTAAATCTAGCATTGAATTAGATGATGGATATTAATATAAAGTAGGGAAATCAATATTCAGTATCATTTTTTTACACATTGTGTCTCACAAATGATAATCAACATGATTGTAAATTCAATTTTGTTATTACCAAAGTTATAATATTTGATCACATTTAGGGCTCCAATCAGGTTCGGTTAAAACCCGAGTTCGGGTGGGTTCGGGTTCGGGTTCGACCCGAAACTTAGAGGGTAAAGCTTTGAAGATTTTTTTTCCATGTACTTTACCACACCCAGTCGAAGAATTTTGTCTATTGAAATAACAGATGTTTCATCTTGATACTTTTCTCGAGTTTTTTCTACCAAGTATTGAAGAAAGTTTTTACTCTCCATCGATTTGTAACCCGTTGAAGAGAACGAACCCGAGGGCCGAGGACCGACACTCAACATCGCATCCGTTAGAGTTCTAACTGTGCACGCAAATCGATTAGCCGGTGATGACCCCACTCCGCAACGCCATCGGAAGCCGACGCTTTCGAATCGACCTCGGATGGAATTTGCAGCTGGGCTCCGAGCAACATCGCGGGCTATGTTGCTGATGTAGATGCTCCGGATAGTTATGCATGCATGCACCGATCGAGGGTTCCGGCTGCGTCGCCATCGATTGAGCTGCGCCTGACAAGCGTCGAATTCTCAAACGAGCGCAGCCTATGGCCTTGGATCAATAAGTCAATCAGTCGCTGACTTGCCTGCTGCTCAAAACGCTTCTACCACAAGGCTCAATGTGGGTAGCAATTTTGATTCTTCTCACTCTAAGTTTCAGGATTCGATCCAAACCCAACCTGGTTTTTCAGGTCATGTTGAAGGTCAAACCCGATCAAATCGGAGCCCTAATGTAACATTAGGGTTTAGAGAAAAGTTTACTCTAAGATATAAATGTAAACTCTAAAGATGAGAGATACCAACAATGGTTCTACTCTCCCTTATATAGCTCTCACCAACAAGTACAAGGAGATAAGATGTTATCCCCACCATCCATCCCACTCCTAGTGGATGGATGATGTGACGGATAATCCTAACAAGCACACGGATCGTTAACGTGGCGCTCCCAACTAACACACTCAAATTTTATCTAACAAGCAAACAGATCGCTGAAGTGACGTTATCAACTAGCACACTTATTTTCTTCCTACCAAGCGCCCTCATCGTTGACGTGGCAGCTACAACTAGTGTACTTTAGAATATCTATATTAACATTTAGAGTAACCTTTACTTTAGTTCTTAGTAACTAAAGATGGTTACATCTAATCACAATGCATGTTATGCATATAGCTATAAGTAGAATAAACAAACAATAATGTTATAGACATGAACTTAATCATGTTTCAACAATCAATTAGTTCTAAATAACTAATTGCAAGAGTTATTTCATGTTTCTTATGATTAAAAAAAATCATATATAAAAGATATCTTATAGTCTTAAAAATATGAGATGTGAAAAAAAAATTCAGAAATTAATTCAAATTTTGATTAACTTTAGCTAATTTGATCATGATTAAAAATACAGACATTATTTGCAAATACATTTCTGATGTTATAAAATTTGATTTCATTAAGTAAAGCATTCGCTGTCGTTCAAATTTTATTAGAATTTTAATTTTATGACAAGAAAGCAAAATCTTAGTAATATTGAAGATGGTTGAATCATAAAATTTCTCATTTTATTTTTTAAATTATAAATAATAGTAAATATAAATGAGTCCTAATAATATAAATTTATTATATTTATAAATTTATTTATTAAATATGTAAGATGAAATTGAACTATTTTCTTAAATTCTAGATCATTTTATGTAAATTGATAAAATTAAATAAAATTAGTTAACGGATTGTACTAATCAATCATATTATTATTCTATCTATGGATAACATGAATTATAGTTAACAGTTATCTGTAATTATGATTAAGAATTAAAAAATTTTACCTTATTTTACTTGTAATTTTTGTTGTGAATAAGATTAATCTTAATACAGATGTTTAAGATTTTGTTGGTGCGTGCATTAAGTTTTTGTGCAATATGAAATTTTACCTATTTCGATTGTTTAACAATGTGTACATGAATCAAATATTTTACAATAAAAAGTTTATAGCAACGTATAATTATATTATAAAATTGAGTGCATTTTTTAATTCAATACCATCGGAATAATTTAATTAAAATATAGAAAAGATTAAAATCAATCTTAATATTTAAAAAAATTATTTCGATTCATTCATTTATCATTCCATTATTTCAAAGATTCGTGTTCCCTTATAATTTTACTTAGGAAATAACCCAACTGATATCTGAAATAATGAATTCTCCGGATGCATCTCTGATCTCCTACAGAAAATTGTTGACAATTGAGGGATGAATAAGCGGTCAACATCTGAATGCACGAGGAGTACGCGATTTCTTTTATCATCATAAGAGATGAGATTGATTGCCATATTCCATCTGTGTCTCTCTCTCTCGAGGAAATTACTGGATGGGACCCATCGAATCCCCACTGTCAATGCTACTCCAATATTTCGAGTAGAACATGAAGTCACGGCAAGACCATGTCGGGAGTAATTCAGACTCATGGTGCCCGTCAATTTCTTAGACATGGGTCCGAAACTAGTGGCCAAAATATTCTGGCCCGACAGCGGCGGACACTCCCCACTCTATGGAGCAAATTTAGTAGGTTATAAGAATGTGGGTTAGGGTGGCCATCGAATCGGTCCCATCGGGTAAAATGAAACCTCATGGGTCCATTCAATACAATTGAGTTTCCAATGGGTCCCATAAGTAAATTTCCACGTCTCTCTCCCTAGATGATAAATGACGACGCATCGGATAAATTAAACCATAGCAGCACACTAGAGAGTCTCACAACAAGAGAGTTCATTCTCATTCATTAGAGATGACGACTGTCTCGCCGCATCCATGCGTTTTATTACCTACACTAATCTACAATTATTCTCAAGATGTATTGGCAAATATAAAATAATTCTATATCGTGTCCAAGTCAGTATATTGTTCTTTCGAAGAAGAGTGTGAAATCTTATTTCATTCTCTAAAACTTGGTTAAACAAATTCGTTGAAGAACATTCAGAGCTTATTGGATTGCAGATAACTGTTGCGAACATAACACTTTCTGGATTATGAAACCCAGCAAGAAAGAGCAACATTTGGAGTGGCATGATTTTTCACAAATATACATCAATGCGATCGACACTTTTATATTTATATGAGCACATGGCTACTAGTTACATAAGAAAACTTCAAATATGGATCGGCCACATTACCAATCTGAAAAGCTTCATGAATGGGAAATTGGTTGATTGTTGGGGTAATTTTCAGATCCCCTCCTTGTAAGTAAAGCCAAGTGACTTGTTCCGCTCATGGAGCTAGTTTGGAAGTCTCCGTTCCTCACCTGGTTTCCCCTCCCTTGGTCTGCAGTTCTCTTACTGTAAAAGGTGTGTGACCAATCTAATTTTTTTTAAGATTTACAAGCTTTGAAGAGATTCAGGCTTTCAGAAGTGCCTGCAGAAGCGCGTGTTGCTGGTCAACGAATGCTCGAAGATCAGAGCCGAGTGGATGCCGAGAGGATGGAAACACTTCCAACGAAATCCACGATCCTTCAATTAGTTGGACGAGGTTAATCTACACCGAATCAAACATCGGAATCCGCCCACATGTGCAGCAGAGCGCCATGATCAGGCACCTACAGAAGCTGAGAGCTTTTTTCATAAGGCGGGTATGGTATCAGACTTTTGACGTCACGCTAGCACCCAAAGGACCACGACGAGCAGATCGATCTACTGAGCTGCTCCGCATGATCGACGAATATCGTCCTAACTAATGCCCACTGTGGCTGCGTCAACAGCGGGCGCTGGAAATCCTGCAAACTAAATCAACTGTCTCAATTAATTTCCCCGGCTCTGTCTCACTGAACAGCCCGCCGGAACCTATTGTGTTTGATGGCCCACGACGATGGGGCTTCTCACCTTGTGCCGCCCATCGGACCACGTGTAGCTGCCGAACACGTACGTCTCGGAATCGGCGTCCGTCTTCAGCGTGCGCTGCAGTCGGATGTTGAAGGATTTGGTCTCGTCGACATTGCTGAACGACAGACGCGAGGGCGAGATCGACACTCTGACGCCCTTGGGAGCTTGGATGCTGACCTTGTAGACGCTTCTGGCTGCGCCCACATTGGTCACTCTGCGGGTGACGGTGACGGTGGTGATTTCCTTGAGGTCGCCGATCGAGACCGACGGATAGTTGAGGCTGCTGGCTGAGGGGAAGTCCTTCTGGCTGCTGCACGAATTGGGCTCCCCCGTGACCACCTCCGCCATCTGGTCCGTGTAGTTGAGCGCGCACAGGAACAGAGTGTAATCCCGTGGCCCCGCCTCGTACACCAGCCCCGGGTCGACCGCAGCATTCGGATTCACCAGCCCCGATCCCGTCGAAAATGGTCCCGCCGGTTCGTTCTGAATATTTTGTATTTTGTGGTTGGAGTTGTCGACAGTGATAGCTGCATCCATCCAACGAGAAGCATAGATGAGTCCACCCACGGATACCTTTATAGTTCTGTAGAATGCCTTACGTATGAAGGTTGAACACGAAGAAATTCACTGCACGAAGCGGAATGGTCGATCGCCCCCACCTGTGGTCATGATGGCGGACTTGATTGCAGCTGGACTCCATCGGGGATGAATGGACTTAATCAGAGCAACCACCCCTGAGATGTGCGGGGTGGCCATGGAAGTTCCATCGATGGCGTTGTAGGTACCATCTATCCATGCTGCCAGCACTTTTACTCCGGGTGCAGCAATGTCGGGCTGCCAAATCCAATCACCCATTCCAATTTAGAAGAATCGAGTGTGTATCCCGTGCTAATCAGACCAGCTTCAACAATATTTCCTAGTCCTTAGGATCCTTGAGGCCCTGGTGTGCTGCGTTCGTTACCTTGAGTATGTCCTGGGTTACTCCGCTGGGACCGGTTGATGAGAAATCAGCAACGACCGGAGCTGGACTCACTCCCAACCATGTCTTCCCCGTGAAGATGGTGGCTCTTGTATTTCTGGCCCCGTCAATATGCGAGCAACGAATTAGATGAGCATAATTGAATTCCTTAGATATACACAAAACTCGATCGGAAGAGGCTCGTCCTGCGCAAGAAGAGATCTCCTACACGAGTGAGTGAATTAGGTGCCAAGCGCTAACCTGAAATTACAAGCGTCCAGGTCACATCTGGTCAAGTAGTCCTGCACACGCTGAGAGTCGGTTGCCGTGATATAAACCGCCGGAAGGACGAATTCCTCGGCCTCCACGGTGTGGTCTCCAAGCGACCATGCGTTTCCGACGATCATTCCAACTCCTCCGGCATTCAGAACCTCCACTGCTTTCTTAGTAATGCTCTCGAGAGGCGAGACTCTCAAGCAGAACACGATCTTCCCCGCCACTTGTTCCGGGTCCAGCGTGGACCCGGAGCACAACCTGTCATGACGTATCAACAGAGTTGAGAATAGATTCATGGCGGATAATCAAGCCATTCACTGTATTCAAAATCTTCCCAAGAGGGGGATGAGACATCAAGGTGAGGTCCCTCACGTGGCTAAGGAAATATGTGCTTTACGAAGTTTAACTTGACTCGCCAGCACCAACGGAGCGGTCGTGGAAGCATTAGTGTTAAGCGTTGCGCCCTGCACCAGCGCAGATGCACCTTCAGCTCAATGTTTGCAGGCATTAGCAAGCAGATCAGATGCGAAGGGGAGCTGCAATTGCAGTCCGCCGAAGAAGGAAATGATTCAGCTCAGGAACGCACTCTGAGCTGGAGACGAGGTTGCGGACCGTCAGCGAGCCTGATGAAAACATCGGAGCCGATGAAACGATCGTGAGTGGTGGCAGCGACGGTGACACTCCAGGGCTCGACGTGGTTGACGGTCTTGGCAGCTGGGCCGTCGTTTGATGCACAGAAGGCGACGACAATGCCGGCTTTCATGGCTTGGTAAGCGGATATGGTCACGGCGTCCTGATAGAAGGGGAGATCATTGCTGCCAGTGATGGAAATGCTGATGATATCGACGCCATCGGCGATGGCCTCATCTATTGCTGCAGAAACATCTGCACTAGAACAACCACCCACGTACCAGCACACTTTGTACACCGCAATTCTTGCTTGAGGGGCCCCTCCTTTGGCCGTGCCATTCGCAAACCCCTTCCAGCTTGCAGGAGCAAAAGATCCTGCCGCAGTTGCAGCGACGTGTGTGCCATGCCCTTGAATGTCCCGTGCTGACCGATATTCCAGTCCCTCATCGAAGGTGGCGTTCGTGATTTCTGAGTTTGCGGCAAAAAAGTACTTAGCTCCGATCAGCTTCCTGCAGCACATCGATTCATATCTGGAGTAAGTATTAGAACGTCACAGGGAGGGTGGCACTGAACATGTGATTAGCGGAATGAAACATTCAGGCGCAGTCCTATGCCATCTCTCTGGTGAAGCTCAAGAAAACAGATCCACCCGGTGAACTGGCAACAGCTGCCATGCCTGTTGCAATTCTCAGTGGTCCACGATTGTCCTTCGACACATTCTCCCTTCCATCGTGCAGGAACTGGGCCAAGTCCTCTATCGTGGAAGCTCTCGGATTCTGGCCAAATGCCTGTTTCAAGAAATATCGACCCGACCTTGGTTAGTCTCATTCCCGCTGGAATTTGTACACCTAGGGAAGCCTGCACGGGCCAAAGTTTCCCTCGCGAGCTAATAACAATCGTGACATGCCAAACCGACATTCAATATGACTACTCGTTCCTCAGTCGAGGACTCTCGACCTCGATTCTATTTTCAGGTTATGAAAGATGAGTCCAAGACCTGACGAGGTTTATCCTTATTAGCACGATGCTCACCTGAACCGATTCAACGCAATCTTCACGTCGGAATCGATTTGCATGACAGTATCCTTGGACTATTATATGGCATAAATTAAGAGTTCCTATAACTTAGTTCTAGACATTTGAGCGCGACAATTGAAGCAACAAGCCTGTCAACTTATTTCGTCGGTTCTGTTCATCAATTGCTTTAGCTTGCGTATTTGCTTGTTATTTGCCTCGCCAGCAGTACCATGTACAGCAAATAGACATCCTCTCCCACTGCCTATGTTCAGACTCACAGTCTCTCTTCTTACAAACTGATTAATACCTGTGTCGATGACTCCAATGATCACATCTCTACCATAATTTGCTCGCTCCCACAGAGCGCCAGTATTTGCGGCATCCGGATCTGAGCTGTCTACGTCAAGAAACTTCCAGGTACTTGTCGTTGCAGGCTCCAGCCTGTGGTTAGGAACCACGGAAAGAACCCCCTCCATTTCTGTAGAAGAACAAAACGTTCTCGTCACGCATTTTCTTCACAAACAGGTGCAAACTTCCCCAAGCTCATCGAGGTTGAGAAATTACGAGAATTGAACACAAATCAGACAGATTCACACTTCCACGCACTCTCTGAGACTCTGAGACTGTTATTCTTTAAAATCTGAAGGAGAAATGTATCCTTCACTAGTGTTTTCTAACAGTGTCCAGGAGGAATATCTGTGAGCTAGAACTCTTGAGAGATTTTGAGCTTACTGGAGAGTTTGAGTGCTTGCTCTTCAGTGAGCTTGGCAGCAAAGCCATCGAAAACCTTCGTGTAGCAATACACCAGACAACCATCCACATCTTCGGCACTGCAAATCCCACACTCAGCACTCGTTGGTTATGATGTCATAGTTCTCTATGAAGGCTGGAGTAGGAATGTACCATATGATGATTTCAGGCGTGAACATTGCAGAAGCTCGTGAGTTGTTGTTTCAGTTTAGTCCACAGCAAGCCGCTCAAATGGGCGGATCTGGAGGAATGGGAATACAGTAAAATAATGCATAAAATAGTAAATCGGGCTGTACCTGCCCAATGCGGCTTCTAAGTAGCCTCGATGCGAGTAAGCTGCATCATCTTTCTGAGGACGGTTTGGACTCAAATAGACGACATGGAGCTGCAAGAGAAGAGCACGTGTTAAGAGTTTCAAATCGTCTTGTACATAAACATCTTCAGAATTGTGACAGACGAGAGCAAGAATGCCCCCAAAACACGAAAACCTGGCTGCCCTCAAATCAATCCTGGAGACTGTCACTCACATTCTGGAAATTCCGTTCTGAAATGTGGAGGTCTAGCGAAAAGCTTATTGTGCATTGTCTGGAGGTGGTGGTGAGCTAGCAATTATCAGAATTGAAGAGTTATTCTACTGATGTGCGAGGGAGGAGGGCCTTTTTCAATGTTATTGCACCCTTCGGATCTGGAAGTGAAGGTTGAGAGTGACATATCTGTCGAACATTTTTATCATGATTCAGTTCACAGGACGACCTGATCAAAGCATCGCCCACTCATATACCTGATCGCCTACAGCAGCTGACACTAGAGCGGTCGTGAAGAGAAGAGGCAGGATGCTCAACAGCCCGAGCCCGTGCTGTGACATCCTCATCATGCCCATCCCTTCTTTCCTCGATATTCTATCTTTCGAAGATTCCTACGAGATGAAACTTGAAACGAACTCTGGGATTGCTCTTTTTCCAAGAGAGCGATCCAGAGATGCACAGGTCGCTCTCACGGTTGAGCTACTTTCCAATTGCAACATGGGCTCTAGGAACTTTATATACGGTCATTCGAAAACATTTAGCTTTACAGATAAGACAATTGTCTCGTACTTTGGTAGCGGCGACAAATGCTCGAAGCAGCTGCTCATAAACAGTCAATCACATTGTTTCTAGCTGCTGGCTTTATGCCATTAAGTTTTCTTCATCGTCATCTTTAACTGGCTTGTAATGCTTCTTTGATGACCATCTGATAGTGTTCTGCTGCCTGATTCTCTGCTCAAGGTCAGGCCCCCAATGTACACTGTCATAATGACCTGGTTTTCACACATGCTTTGTTCACACAGAGCACACTCGCGGGTTATTACCTTCTAGATTCATTAGCTAAACGTTAAGTTTGAAAATATGTGGCGAAATATTGAAAGCGTAGGCCAATCAGAAAATCATCGTTCTCTACCATGCTGGGGGACAGACCTCGGACTTCAAATCGTAATGGCTTTCTAGATTCTCAGCCAGATGCCAAGTAATGTGGAAAGATGGTCTTGTTCTAACACGGGAAAATTGCACATTGATAGAGAGCCTCATGAAGGTGCTGATAACAACAACGCTGTGCTGAGAAGTTGTTCCAAGCATGCATGACGTTTGTGTCAGTAGATCATGCTTATGGATTACTTATTCAAGTTCTCGTTAATCAAAACTCAGGAGACTTTTGAATGACGAACACGTACCCCCAAAAGACCAACATTCGGTGCACTCGCGGTTGACGACATAGTATACTCTACAGTACTCGAGCTACGTCTCATTCATTTGGACGTTCTCTTTAGACATTCTCCGCATTTCTGAAAAGCTCCAAATTCAAACTCTTTTTTATAAAATCAAAAGCATCCTGTCCATTTCGGTCCACGGTTGTTATATCTCAAATCCTTGAAATGAACAATTTTGTCTCACCGGCGAGCGAGCAGTGACTGCAATGTTCATCCCGGGTCATTGGGTGACTGCGCTGACCTTGAACTAAGCTGTTTCAACTGTCCCCAACACGATACTGCCCCCTCTTTGAGGTCTCCAAGACCATCGTGATGGTTATAAAACATCGTGATAGGCCCAACTGTTACAGAAAGGGTCTCCACTCTGTGTACCACTCCAAAACTCAACGCATCCCACCAACTTCAGATGCAAGTGTGGGTAACCCACAGCAGAAAAAGAGTGTTCCAAATTTCCAAAACTCAAAGCCGGTTGAAGCTCACGGTGGTTCTGGAGAAAATTGAACTGTAGAGTTTAGAGGTTTTCAGAACATATTGATTTGAGAAGTGATAGCAGAATTGCACCAGTTCTATCCAGGGCACGTGCCATTCGAAGGGTATCTTTCCCCAAGTTATAGATAGAGAGCTATGTAAGCTACACAGTAGTACGCGTTGGCATGCTCTGCGGGTCAAGCGGGCCATAAGCAATTGATACACTCCAGATCCCTAAGTATCATTATTCATATATCAGTCGTCCGGGAGACGAGGAGTCCGCTGGGGCCTCTCGTCTCCTGAGTCCTGACCCTCGTACATAGCCCTGGAACCTCGGCTCAACTTGCAAGCGCAATTGTGTAGTGATGTTCACTGTCGATCGATGTGACGATCTATGTGCCAATCTAATTCTTTTACGGAGGATATAGTGCGGCGATCCGTGGGCCGCGACACTTGCACTCGCACTAAAAAGCCTCTGCTGACTCTAAAACTAGTACTATCACTGCTGTATCCAGTAAGAAAGGACTGCGCTTTGCCGAGATAAGGAGACCGAGTTGATGGGATCGCATGGCTCAATCTATGTCTGCTCATCAG